CATAGCTAGAACTGAAACGCACTACAACACTCCATGTAACAGCTGAATTAGTTAAACTATCCATAAGAGTGTCTTGCATCCCCAGAGCGAAAATTATGGTGGCAGCGATAGAGATCTGAATGTTAACATTGACTTTTTTACACTCGAACGTAGATCGGCCACAATTTTGGTGCACGCGGTGCGACTGCGCACAATACGCCAAATCCAGCGAGCATAGTCATCTAATCGGGCACAGAGTGAAAATGCGCTCCGGGTTTTTCGGATATAGTTGCAGTGTGCAAATAGCTATATTTAATCGAATCTAAGTTATAGTCGAAAATGGATTTCAAATTTAAAATTTATATTTAAAAATGAAAACATCGCAAAAAAAGTTGCTCGAAGAAACTTACCATTAAGGAAGTAATAACTACAAACCACAGCACGCCGTTTTCATTCCCAGCTGTTGATCCAACACATATGGCCAGAATAATGCCGTTCAGCTGAAAGAAAAGAATGAATTTTACATTTCAAGCTCATATTTAAGAAGTGTATCTGAGCAGAATAACCTGCAGTCTGTTCACTCAGAAGGCAACAGGTAGGGTACATTACCGGTCTAGTTTAGCCCCAATAAAAACAAGTGGAACAACTTTTTAGCTTTCCGTTTTCTTCTTTTTCTGACATCAGTATGATAGCAATGTTCGCAGAAATTTTCTCTATTAAAGAACGGAGCCTACACAGGGACAGTAGATGACGTATGTTAAAAGGCCAAATTTTTTACATTTCGGATATTATTTGCAATTTCCTGGTGAATTTGCATATTAACCTCAGCTAAAGAAATGGTATGCATGTTTTAAAAGGCGTAGTTGAGTGAAATTTTACAAAGCATTGTAGGAGAGAAAAATGAGAACGATTCGCACTACTTGTAATTGTAACATTTGTAAAATTCGTTTAAATATAGGTGAGTCAACATTGTGTATCAAGCCACAACTGGAACATTCGAAAGTTCGGACAATTTAACGAATTTGTGTTTGCCAAAGTATTCATTTCCAAACACCCTATTAAAATCTTAGAATGTGCAATTTAGTGCATAATTGAGTTAGTCACATATTCAAA